TCTACTAATTGACTCCTTTGTGGCTAAGCATTGACAGGGCCATCTATGTATAGAAACATTTAACAAAACAATACTAAAGTGAACGCAACATTTTCCTGTTGGCACTGGGTTAATTTATCTACATGCAACAATGCCAACAAAGGCTTATTCAATTCTCTTAGACTTGCCTCGTCATAACCTGTCAACCACAGGCGAGGTGTCTGGTAGTACTTGTCATAGGTGATGTGCAAGTCATATGTGCGGGTTTGGAGCACCTCACCCCCGTCGCTGGTGCTGTTCCCCGGGCTAGACACTGCAGGAACGGTTCTGGGCGTCTGGATTGAACTCTGGTAAGAGCACAAAAGAGAGAATGAAGGGGGGAGGAGTAATGAATGACAAGTGGTATGGGAAGGAGAAAAAGAAGAGAATGGGGAAGGAAGAAGGGGGAGGAAGGAAGAGAGTATGAGAGAAAGATAGAGAGAAGAGAGAGAGAAAGAGAGTATGAGAAAGAGTATGAGAGAAAGAGAGTATGAGACACAGAAAGACATAGAGACAGACACAGAGAGACAGAGAGACAGACACAAATAGACAGAAAGACAGACACAGAGAAACAGAGAGAGATAAAAAAGAAAGAATATGAGAAAGAGAAAAGAACACAAAGAGGCAGAAACAAATTTAGATACAGTTTGCCTCATAGCAGCTTTCCACTTATGAACCATCACATTTATTTTCAATGCAAAATGTTTGTCATTAAGAAAACTGTCTGATCAACAAAGCTTTAGCGTAATTTAAGAACATACAGGATCCTCTTGCTCCAACATGCCTGACTCCTCAAAAGCTTCCATATCTGCAGCTTCTTCATCATCATCGTCTTCATCTTCATCATCATCATCTGCGCAAGATGCCTTCTGTAATGGGGACGAGGATTCCTTTATCATTTCACTGTCATTATCTTTTTTAAACCACAAAAATATCAATGTGACAGTGTCTCCATTTCTTAACGTATAAAAATTTAAAAATATAGGAAAGAGTGAGAAGGAGTGACAGAAACAGCTGGAGAAGGAGGACAAGGAATTCTTTCTTTCCTTTAATTTCTCTACATTCAAAATGGGGAAGAAATATATATGAGTCTATGAATTTATAAAAACAAACAATCTAAGAAACACACACACACAACATAGCCTGAGATACAAAGATAGAAAGATACACACACACATAAAACCTTACCATCCTTCTCCACTTACCTTATCTTCGAGTGCCATGTCAGCCACTTTCTCTTCCAAGATGGCTGAGTCACTGAAATGGTGTGTGTCCACCCATCCACCATCAGGATCACCCTCTGATTCCAGGACCAGCTCCTGCTCACTGCGATACTCCATCTGGACAGATGACGAAATAGTGATTAGTCTTCGTTCCCTCCCTCATTTGCTCTCTTTGTTATGACCTTAGACTTATGCATATGTAGACACATACATGCACAAAGGTATGATAAACATATGATGTGATTTCCGTTCAGTCTGGTAGGGTTTTAAAAAACCCTTTTACATAAGAGATATCATGACTGTCATGTAATATAAGCAGTAGAACTACGTGATGACTTGCAAATGACTGAAAAGGAGTGATTGTATATCCTGCATGTTTTTTCACAATATAGTGTTAATGTAATTTCATACTTTTATATTTACACACACACACACACACACACACACACACACACACACACACACACACACACACACACACACACACACACACACACACACACACACACATGTATGTATGTATGTATGTCTATGTCTATGTCTATGTCTATGTCTATGTCTATGTATGTATGTATATATATATATATATATATATATATATATATATATATATATATATATATATATATATATATATATATATATATATATATATATATATATATACACATTTACATTTACATATATATTTACATATACATATACATATATACAACAATTTCAATTTATGCTGTATAATAACAAAATTAATAACAAAATTAACAGAAAATATAAGTGACAAGTTTTTCTCCATATACATGTGTTTGTAGTGAATTACACAAATAACAAAATGTTGCACATTTTTCTTTTCCTTGCACGGAGTTATGGACTACTGAACTACCTAGAGGAATGATATGGAGTCTGTGCAAGGAAAACAGTCTCTTACCATCTGGATAAAACAAATCAAATGAAAAATCAAATGGCAAAAAAAAAAAAACGAAAATGCTTATTAAAAAAAAAGAGAGAGAAAATAAAATTGCAAAGGGAAGGTACAGAATCTACAAGCCAAGCACCCATTCCTGTAACCCTAAAGCCCGCATTTTGGTCCGTGTTACTGCTCTGAAGCAGCCAGATCCATCGGGTTAAATGAGAGATGAAAAAGTGTAAAACCTCTGGAGTACAATTGCTTCAAGACCATGAACTGGAAATGTGTAATTATTTTCCCTATCAAGAGCACACAGCCTCTAGGGAGTCCGCTGTAAATTTCTAAACCTAAAACTTCTAACTGTCATAGCTGGAGTGGCTTGATATTTCACATACACATGCAAATGCACAGGGTCTTACTATATCAATATAATGCCCACTACTTGATAAAGATATGTACATTTTCCTATGATCACTGTATTACAATGTTATCATTATATCATACTGCTATGAATGTGGATAAAATTCTTGATCAGTTTTCTTGACAACATATTCATAAAATAATTGTGTGAAATTACAGTCCAGTACACAATATCATATATGGAACCACAAAGTCAGTAATAATGGTGATCTCTTTAGAAACACTCCATACCCTGTTCATTATGACATGGTTATAACATTCTGATAATTTCCTGGGAGTAGGTTTCAAGACTGAGGTTAAAACACAAGTTGAACCATTGCTAATAAGGTACCAAACTTCCACAAGAGAAAAATCTTTACACAGATTTAAAATTGAGAAGAGAAAAGTCTGCAAGTTTTTAATCATTGCTAATAGAAATATATCTATCTATACTTGGTGTTTTCAACACAGAACAGAAAGATATGAGAACCCACCACAGACTACACAAAACAGGTTTAAAGGATGATGAAACAACAGTTTTTCAAAACTGCTGTGTATAGTAGGCTTTTCTACAATTGTTTTAACATGGTAGTGCTTTGTCATTTCCTAGAATAGGATATATCTACAAAAACTAGAGATAACCGGACACCTTTGAACTCTGTCATATCATTACAAGATGTTAGGTTTAAACTGAATCAACAATTCCCTCAAATACCTTATTTATAACTATAAAGAATACAACCTTTTTCACAACATTAAAGAATACAGTACAAGGTCTCTATTTACAGCCCTAAAAAATATGGTACAAGGTTGACATTTTTAACCTTATTGAATACAATGTCAAGTACAACTTGCAAAACACAACATTATCTATAACCTTAAAGATTGGTTTTAGACCTTACTTGTTTGCACCTCCTGTAACAAGGGACATTCTTGGTGATGAGGAACTGCTTCTCTGGAGGAAGATATGGTTTGGTCTTGGCAGCGTCCCCTGGAGCCCATCGCCATGTGGGGCAGTGATGAACCAAGTGATCCCCTGCGGCTACAAATTCCTCTGGAGTAAGGACTCCCGTCTCTTTGAACTTGGACTCCTGTATGGATTAAGAGGATGCTGCAGTGATCTTGAACAAATTAATACAGCAGAAAAAATAGGAAGTTATCTTTTTTTATTTATCATTATTTATTCATTTATTCATCTGTTTACTTATTAATTTATTATCTTCATCATTATTATTAAAGTCATTCTATTTTTTTTTTTTTTTTTTTTTTTTTTTGCTTGAATATGAAGACAATACAGCAAGACTCGGGGTATGTGTTGCAATCTAATTCTTTCTGCAATTGAAGAAAATCTAAAATTAAATTATCTTTATAGGACACAACATTGTTGAAATTTTTCCCATTAACTTTAGTAAGTTGGTCAAGTAATAAATTTGGAAGATCTCATTTACATTCTTCTTCTTTTAACTATATCAGGGTGCATGAATACTTTACTTGACAAATACCTCCTAGGCCTAACTCAAACTGTCCTATGTTATGTTCTTAAAGATCATATGAAATAACACTTTTCTAAGATGAGTAAGGGCTGTGCCACAACCGGTTATCAAATGCTTGGATAAATACTTTACCCTCCGCTTCTGACTAAGTTCCTCCTTTCATGTTGTTCTGGCACACAAAAATTCAAATCCTTAGTTTGTTGTTTTGACATGAAAGTCATCAGCACAAAGTGGCTGACGTTGGCGAGCAGTTATGTAGGGTGTTACCGTCTCTAACTAAACATTTTGGATAGTTGGTGAAATAATGAAGTGACACAGAAGGATTCCAGTATAGTATGGAACAATCTGCCTTAGATGTACTGTAGCAAATAGCTAAATATACATAAAATACCGTATGCATTTTGAAGTGCCAGGGAAAAGGAATTCCCACGGCTGAGAAAAAATACTGACCAAGTTAGATTTACTTTAGGGTTAGGCTAGGTTAGGTTTAGTGTTTGACATTTGGTGAAAATAATAAAGATTCCACTGGTTGGGGATCAATGTCTGAGAATTGGTTAAGGTCAGGATACATTTAAGGGTTGGATTTTCATTACAAAAATAGCCCATAAGCAAAGAATATCCACCGGAACTCACATGTAATCATGGAAAGTGTTCAAAATCAACCCAACAATGCCAGGCATCTCATAAATGACACAGTCAGATAATGGACAGGAACTAGCATCTAATAGGCAAGACATTTGTATTTTCTGCATACATTCCGACTAGGTCACTTGTTGCTTGTGCCTCACGTGTGGGTCCCAAGCAAAGGGCAGTTGCTGCAAAACCATCCACCCCAAAATTAGGGTGTTTTTCAATAGGAGGTACGCGTTGTGGACAGGTTAAAAGAAAAAGTGACTCTTCATTGTCTCACTTCTTTTATGATTAAAAATACATAACTTTCTTTACAATCTGAAAACAAATATTAGCTCAGGTTTTTTACTCACAAAAATAGACTTAAAAGCTCTTATTAGTCTCATGGTTACTACTTCTCAATTTGGAGATGACATTGCCAATAAAGTTACATGCCTACTACTTGTCTGGGTTATTACTAATATATTAACCCATGGAAAATCTAATGTAAAAAATACACTCACTGATATATGATATGATCAACACAGGCAGAGAATAATGTCATAAATAAAAAAATAAAAGGTCATGACAAGTGCCATGCCGAGTCATTTCAAAGCAAATTCCCTCGGACTGCACATATACGTCATCTAACGTTACTACCAAGGTAAGTGTTTATACTCATGGTTAGGTTGCAATAGGTTAGGGAAAGAGGGGTCTGGGGCAGATACCCCGATAGAGAAATGCAGCAATCGGATGGGGGTCCGGGGCCAGAGCCCCTAGGAAGTTCTTTGATTCGTATGGCTATCTTTATGATAGATTGTGTGTTTAGGCTGAGTCGCTCGTTCATTTGTTCGTAGGGAAATATGGCGATCGGGAGGGGGTCCACGGGAAGAGCCTCCAGTAGGGAAATATGCCAAACCGGAGGGGGTCTGGGGGCCGAGCCCCCGTGTTAGGAAGTTCTTTGGTTCATACGCTATCTTTATGATAGATTGTGCGTTTAGGCCAGATGTGCTTTCTCGTTCTTTTCTGCACCACAGTATCAAATCTTAATAGCCAAATCTTAAATTGTTTTTTCTTTCATTTTTTCACTTTCTTTACAGTGTAAAATGCAATTCTTTGCTCAGGGTTTTCATTTTTACACTTTCTTTACCTTTTGAAATCACTGCTAAAAGCGAAATCGACCATACCCCCCTAAAACCCCCGATTCCCCATGGGATCCCCCAATATTGTTGACAAGAGTTGGGGACTTAGTTTCCAGCAGGTGCGGTTATGTTGGAAATAAATGCTCGTCTGCACTCGGCTGCCATCCCTAACAGTATTTTAAAGATTTAAGGATTTAGTTCAAATTCTAATTTCTACAATTGGTATTCTTTTGGTATGACATGCTATCTATTTTATTTGCTTCTAAACCTTCCTCTGTGTGCAAGGAATGGCCCAGATTACCATCCAATGGTAGTGCATGGGACTGAATGCAAGACTGCTATAAACATGCTAACCCACTAACCGCTGCATCACACAGCAGCACTTCAGTAATGGCCTACAACTCTCCTCTATATTCTGGCTAGAAAAAGCTAAAATACCTCTCTGAAAATTTACTGTGAAAAAAAAAAAAAAAAAAAAAAAAAAAGTTCAATCTTGCCAGAACATATGTGGCAGAGGTATGCAAGCCTATCCTGGAGCAGTAATAAGAACATAGGCTGTGGAAGTCACTTGACAATATGCTACTATCTGGTTGGACTTCCTTCACTGCATGTGGGTATCAAGTTTTAGGCCTAAGTATGGATGTTAACGTTACCTTGATTCTTTGGATGGCTTTTACTACATTCTAGGTGCCCAAGACAGTATTTTTTTATATCATACACCATACAGTCTTCCAAACATGGTTGATAACTCTTATTTCATCATATTTTTTTGTAAAGAAAGTCACATGGCAATGGGAAGCACTGTAAACAATGGCACTGCAATCTCACAAACCATAATTTATGTATAACAAGCCTGAACTTTCCCTAATGTAGGGAAGCAGCCCAAGTGTAATGGACTAAAAGTGATCCTTTCAAAGATTGCAATGTTTATGTGGCTTAGTACAGAACATAGCCAAGATATATAAGAAAAAGTCCTGTTTTGAAAGTCACTGCACGTTAATTAGTATGATTTATTTAGTTTTCTACTAGGGAAACATATACTATATCAGTAAATGAAGTTGTGTCAATAAAACATACATTTGGAAAAATAATATCACCTTCTGCATATGACACTTAATGTAAGTATTATTATCATTGTAGGATAATACAGGGATCCACCTGATACTATCATTTTTGCACATATCCTCATTCCAATAATAAGAGATAATACTGAGATTTCTTTTACTTATAACTTACACAGATTTAACAAAAACCAAAACTGTAGCTAATTCTAATCTTCTCTCATCATTTAAATAACAAAAGACATCACATTTATCCCAGTACTCCAATGAGAGCACATGTGTTTTTTCCACGCATCATCACGTCCGATAAATTAAGAAGGTACACATTTCTCAACATGAGCATGCATTCAGAACGAAAACTTTAACAAAAATGGATAAGTAACACGAAAAGTGGAGCGTTTATATATCTATTTGATCGTCATACGTGAGTCAGAGTCAGGCAGTCTCAACCGCTCTCTCCTCTCTCACCTTAAGAATCGGCGTAAGATACTCGGCGACTCCTAAGGCTTTCCCTTTAACAGTATTGATCACGTTCTGCATGTTGTCAAGGCTTGGGAGTAATAACTGCCGCTTTTATCGGAAGTACTTGTCGAGAGAGTTGAATGACTCCTACTTTCTTCCTATCGGCAACAACACTGACAGCTGACAATTGGAGGGATGGTGTGTCTAAGGTCCGGGAGTTATTTGCTTAGATTGTTTAATCATCCAAGTGCTTTTTATTGACATTTTACTAGGTCTAGGATATGACATCGGTTTGAAATACTTTTACTGTATGAGAGGTATATCTTGTAGTGAGTCATACACTAAAGATTGTATGAATGCTCCTTCTGTAGTCCGAAACGAAATATTTTATCGCTCCTCAATGGTAATATTTTTGATATTATAGATTGAAAAGATAGTCAAGGTTGAACCAAAAATATCATAAAGATAAGATAACAGAATTTAGATAATCAAAAGTCGCTGAACAAACCGCAGTCTTCAAGGAGAGGGAGCCGAAGTCACAGTCGGCGCAAACGAACAAGTGACATAAAGGAGTTGCAATGGCAGGTAAACAAAGCAGAAAAAATCCCAAATTTACCATAGAAGACGCCTTTGAGGAGGATGCTGACGATGCCATCCGACTCTACGGTGCCACGAATGAGCGCTCGCCCTTCAGACCTAAAGATCGTGACGGAATAATGGGCGTGGATGATGTTTCCATGAATATGGATGGCAGTGTTCTTGGAAGCAAAGGCTTTCTCACGGTTCCTGATGTAGATGTAAGTATCTGTGTGGATGTTTTCTCCCTGTGATTCTTTTCCATCCTCATTTTCCCCCCACTGTCTCTGTTCTTCATCCTCTCTTCATATATCTTTTTACACTAATATAAATTTGGAGAGCTTTCATCAGGTTGCAGACAAAGTCCGTAGGTCACAGACATGTTTGCACTAATTAGTGTAGAAAATTTGATCTTGTTGTGATTACTACTATTGACAATGCTCTTTGACTTTAAATAGGTGTAGTTTGTTTCTTGTTCCAGTGATAATTCTGGAGAATGGTTTGATATCTCATAAGACAATGAATTTGTTATTGATGGATTCCATAATGTCTAGCATGAATGGAAAAAACACTCTTCCGTGTTGATGCTATGGTAGAATAATGTTCATGCATGCGATTCGGGCAGGAGTGGAGCAGTTAGGCAAGGTCGTCAGAAGCATGGAAGAGTGGAGAGAAACGACGTGGCATGGTCACGATGAGAGTGTAGATAGGCATAAGGAGTAGATAGCCAGAAAGACGCAGGCAAGGCAGAGGCAGCAAACTAGAAGAGCTATTAGTTGCAAGAGAAGAGAGCGACGCAAGTTTGCAATGTGAGCGATGAGACGAGAGTGTAATGTGTTAAAGGAGCTCTAGCTTTATCAGCGATGGCGACGATGCGAGACAAGCGAGAGTAATGAGATAGAGTAATGAGTACGCGTCAGAGGTTGGTAGGGAGGGTATGAGAGAGATGCGAGTAATGGAAATAGCAAAGGTTAGTTAGATTATGCAGTGACTATGCAAGTGATCTCGTAAAATATGACCGAGAGTTAAGTATTATCTCGTTTCATAAATGACAAATCATCAACTTATGTGCCAGTAGTCATAGTATTAAAGGATATAACAACACCATTACTGCGATCAGTAATAATCCAAGTATCAACATTCCATAATATAATCTAAACCGTAACATTTATATTCATAAGCATTTAGAGATATGTAATTAGAGATATATATGAGGATCTTGCAAGACCAAGCATACATAGTAGAGCATCTGTATATATATATATATAAGAAATATATTTCATATATATATGGTTCTGTGATACAGATATTACCGAGTAGTCTCCAAGATATTTATACCACTCTATCGAGAATCACTCATATTCTTGCTTTCGATCTAACTACACGGTCTCAATCACTACACAAGACTATAACATGCAAGATCTCTTCTTTCCAAAACTCTCTACTATATAGCAACATATTACGCTATCTACAAAACCTAAATCACAAATAGAGTCTTATAGGACATAATATAATTATAGTTATCATATCATCAACTCACGGAAGACTCTCGCCTCACTATGGAATCACCTGAATTTTTTTTTTTATTATTGATCTTGGCAACTCCTAATGCTAACTCCAAATGGAGATGTAGCCAATAATCGCGATACTATAGAGACCTATGATTATAAGTCTCACCTTTCCTGGGTAGATGCACATGACATATTCACGGTGGGTATAGTCCTCTTGTCACTCCGTCGAGTGTTAAGTGGCGGCAGGCACACATCATAAACCCTGCCTGCTTACAGATGTGTGCCATGAGAGAGTATCAATAGTCGTCCAAGAATATGTGTCTGCCAGCCCCAACCCCCCTCAACTCACAAAAAGACACCACAATCGATCCTATCTCAGATCTCGTCTTACTCCGACTATTACGTTTTTAGTAAATTGAGTGAATGTGACACGGCTGCCTCTATTCGAGATGCAAACGAGATATGAACAATATAGTGGCCAAGGATTACTCAGTATATTACCAGCTGTGTATTAGAACTATTGAATGTCTCTTCTTATATGCTACCATGTACAATAACTTCAGAGAGCTCTATCTAGAGTGCATTGAGTATCATAGAAGTTCCTCCTGTGAGATTTCTCAATAAGCGTGATACAATGACAATAAATACTCAGTGTGATTGTCATATGGTTATCTGCGCACTCTCAGTCTAGTGAAGTAAATCCTGTATCCTATCTCGTACTCGTATAATGTACCTTATCTATCAGTGTTAAGGATCTCAAATCTCTCTCAATCACACAGGAAGTCTCTAGTTACATATCAACTTAGGTAACCGACTAAGATCTATACTTTTGCTGCTATACATCTGACAATAAATTGATCCATATGGCCGTGCTATAGCAAGTGTGATAGCACGTGCCTACAGAACGCAATATATAAATGAGCACCTCACAAAGTATAAGTTTAGCAGCACACATGTGACATAGAGCAGTCAGCGACTCTATGTATGTAACATACCATTATATAACACTCTCTTATATTATATATAAAGTTATAAATCTCATATGGCGAGAGCAACAACAGCCAATACATGCATATTCTACTGCTCCATTCTTCATTACTCAGATGGTTCATCATTGATACCAGGTGTCAAGACGATTATGAAATATAACATGACAAATGTGAACTTATAATCATCAATTCAAGACAAACAAAAATGAAATCAATAACATACTCTCATATGAAGCACACATGAACAATAAAATAAAGCTCTCTCTCAAATCATTGAATTCCTATAGTGGATGAGGCAAGTGAATGCGGGAACAGAAATATCATTAATTTAGCCTTTCGTTGCGAGTGGCATTTGACGGCAAATATGATCGCCACCAAGCAGAGTCTGAAATAGGCCCCCAGAGATAGGCCCTCAAGTCGCAAAGCAACCACATCCTTGAGTGGAGGCCAAGTGCATCCCAAATTCTTGCAGAGGCATTAAGGGTTAAAACAGAGCTAGGAATAGACTCTTCGAGATTCTGATGTGAATAGCCTGGCTTATGGCTGTAAGGGTCTGATCGAGTTTTCAGGAAGTCTGTATCAGAGTGCAATAACAAACTGTTATGTTCACTGTATATGAGCTGTTGTGTGTCCGTAGAGTCTACAAAATTTTCATGTAAGGCTTATTATGTAGTGTGTATAGTCAAACTCTATCAATATGAGGTATACTCCCAACCATCAGTATGAATTATTGCACTAGACACGTTATGTTTATTTAATTAGAGGAATCAGTCTCTGTGTCTGGTTAATTAGCTATACACCGAACATATTTTTTCTAAGGGGATGTTTGATTTGAAAAATGTATCACATGATGTTTCAAGTTTTGTGAATAGACTAGGAAGTTTGTATTTTGTTTTGGTAATGCAGAAGACCTGTATTCAGGGAATCAGTAGTTTTCAGATTGATAATTCATTTTTTTAGCTTGATTATAATGCATAATAAGATATATTTTTAGTTTACAAAGATGAAATTTTTCAGGCTATTTCACGTGACAGTGATCTCGCCTACATAACACGGGCGATGCCAGCAGCTTCTCAGAATCTCCAAATGGTGGGCGTTTCCTTCAAACCCTAAGCGTTTCGGTGAGAAAACATCTGATGACTCTATCGCTAGTCTTGGTTGCCTTCATCGACTCGCGTCAATTTTTCTAGGCAAACTAGAGAGTGGGAAAGTGTGATTGTAATCCATAATATGGCTCGTAACATTGTATTATCTCATTTCACTTATATATATATCCTAAGGACATAACTACGATACTATTACCTGATTAATAATATAACATGATGTATTACTTAATAGAAATAGTATTTCGGGTGACACATTATTTTGTTATTTTTTGTTAATTTTTGTGTATGTTTTATTTATTTTATATTTTTTTTTTTATTTTTTCTCTCTCTTCTATAATATATTTTTAATTCTAGTATTTTCCTTTCTCTCATATGTTATATTTGTAGATGTCCTAATCTGGATTAATTTTATATATTATATATTTATATATTCCTCTTTCCTCTCTCTCCTTCTATATAAGTCTTTATTATATTATTATCTGTGTTTTTGGTCTTTTCTTATTTATATTAGTTAGATGGTTAATTTTTTAAAATAATATATATTGTTACTTCATTCAGTGTAGCTTAAATAACTTTGTAATATAGAATAGAATTGTACATATAAGTAATTAAACCACTAATTATAGCTCTCCTATATATAAGATCTATAAAAACCTTTCACTCACGGTGTTCCACTTACGGCTGAAACATATTATAATACCTGAAAGTGAGTAAGACAATGTCTCGGAGTGATATCATTCTGCAAAAAATAGCTCCTTAGAAACTAGAACCATCATGAGTTTTTAAGAAATAAAAAGTAGATGTTCTATGTTAGCTTATCATACAGGGAAAGCTAAAGTGTCACTACAAAAGTGAATTGATAGATAACATAAAAAAGTCAAATATTCTACATACAGAAAAAATTCCTCTAATACACATGACGAACACAAACATGAGGCTCGAGAAACATACAAAATCCTCTCTAGGTATTTAGTAAAGAGAACATTTAATTCTACCTATTTATTGCA